GTACCCACTGGCCCCATCATCCAAATCTGCCGTGGCAAAGGTAACCGATGGCATGGTTACCACTTCCCATGAAGTGATTCTGTTCTTGTCCTACCTGACCATTATCTGACTTCCTGACCTGTCCCTCCTCCTTGAAACATCACTGCTTCCAGTGGCTTCCAGAACACCACTTCCTCTTGCTTTCCACCTACCCTCTGCTTACCCTTGTCAGTCTCTCCACACTATTTACCCTAGAGCTTCCCTTTTGCTTTGACAAGTCTGCTAGAAAATAAAATATACTTACAGCCTCCCTTCGAGCTTCCTCTTCCTCTACACGTGTCTGAAATTCTGCTGTTCCCCAGGGCTCCTCCCTCTACTGCTCATCTGTAGTTACAGCTGCAGTGTGCTGTGTGTGATGTAGGGACATTCCACAGGTATCTCACACTCCATATGTTTCAACCTGAAGGCAATATCTTTCTCGCCCAAACTCGCTGTTCTCCTGGGTCTCCTGCATCACAGCACAATCCTAAACCAGGAATCTGCATGTCATTCCAACCCCTCTCCCCTCCCACCCTGTCATCCAAACAATCACTTAAGTTGTGTCAAGTCTACTTCCATTGCTCCTGCCCTACTGTCATAAGTGGCCCATGCCACCAGCATCTCTCTCCTGACACTACAACGATCTCCTAAGTGTTCGGCTTGCCTCTGGTCAGGATGTGTCAATAGCTCCCTTCTGCTCACAAGATATACTCCAAATTCTTTAACGTGACTTCTAGGCCACCCAAGACTGGCCGCGGCCTGCCTCTCCATCTCCTGCCACTTTCTCCAGGCATTCAGTGCTCTAACCAGACAGAATTCCTTGCCATTCTTGTTGATGCTAAACTTCCTCCCCTTCCTGGCCTTTGCACACACTGTTCTCTGCTGAGAACACTCTTCCCCTTAAGACCCTGCTCCTCTTCAGGCTAAATCTGCTCAACCGTCAGTACTCAGGCCATGGGTCAGTTCTGGAAAAACTGCGATGGTGCCCAATCCCTGCAAACTGGGTTGGATACACCTGTTCATGGTATCATATACTTCTCATCAAATCAATCATCACACATTATCATCATTGTTCATTCCATTTTAAGTCTTCCCTACTGGATGCTAAGTTCCCAGAGGGCAGAGCTTTCACATCCTGCCAACCACAGCAACCTAGAGTCCAGCAGAAGGCCTGACATAGAGAAGCTTGGTAAAAAATTATTTTATCTCCATTTCACAAAGGTAGAAATCACAGCAGTCAGAGAAGCTACATACAGGGCAGAAGAGGAAATCTTCCAATGATGTTTAATTTGAAGCCTGGTGCTCTCTCTAAGCTCCTGTTTTTCCAAAGCTATAGACTTCCCTTTGGAAAACACAAGAAAATTTACTTTTTATTTACGTTTTAACTCACTGATCCCTAAATCGCATAACCTTGACCATTACTGGATCAAATCCTACAATCCTTTCAGGTGATTCTTGGGAAGACCCCTCAACTTACTTTCCTCTGTAAGAGACTCACTCTCCCTATCTCAATAATCTTTGGCATAAGTCACTTTCAAGCCATCTAAAAATCTCAGCAAAATACAAAATCACAGGCATCATCGATGCAAATGACTGCAAAGGAGATTGAAGCCCACTCCACCAAGCAGAATTCCAAATGCACATCAAAAATGCTACATATTCTGGCCAGTGTGGTGGCTCACTCTTGTAATCCCAGCACTCTGGGAAGCCAAGGCGGCTGGATCACCTGAGGCCAGGAGTTCAAGATGAGCCTGGTCAACATGGCGAAACCTAGTCTCTACTAAAAATATGAAAATTAGCTGGGCGTGGTGGCGGGTACCTGTAATCCCAGGTATTACTTGGGAGGCTGAGGCAGGAGAATCGCTTGAACCCAGGAGGCAGAAGTTGTAGTGAGCCGAGACCTAGCACTGCACTCCATCCTGGGCAACAGAGTGAGACTCCATCTCAAACAAACAAACAAAATGCTACACATTTTGATCATGACAAAGCCAAGAAAAGTGGAGAAATTAGAATGTGGATCACATAAGAAAAGAAAAAGTCCTAGCACTGTTCATGAAGAAACTAGCTACATCAGAAAACAAATTCTTCAATAATTTAAAATCCAAAACTTAAGAGGCAATGCACACATAAGCAACAAATCCAGAATGATCAACATGATTTGGTACTAAACATGTGTAGGCTCAGCTTGCTATATATGTATATTAATTATATGGGTACATTAATTATATGTTAATGCCTATTTCAGTGTGTGTTACTCTTTCTTACAATAAAGTTTGTCAGCGCCAGTTTTTTTGTGGTCCCCAACTCAAGGATCAGTGAAGGAGATAATGAAAACACTTCTGTTTCTATTTTATTCTTCCATCGGTTTGAGGAGAATTAAATATGTATAGAAAGTGAATAGGAGCATATCTTTGTTATCAAGCATTATTGCTATGGGATTTATTTTAAAGCAAAGTTGACTGAAGTAATTATTTACATGGAAAGTAAATAGTATCGCAATGCAACTTGGCATTTTCTTATGTAAACTGCACTTATGCAAATGCACTACCATATTACCCACTGATCAAGGCAGGAGTCCACATTTCAAAGCCTATGCGCTGACGTTTCATCCCCTCAACATCCTTTCCAGCCTCTAAGTTTGATATGTAGGTCTGTCTTTGGCTCTTTAAGAATCAGAACTAAACTGTCAATTCAAACGTACCCTTCTCACCTCCAGCCCACAGTGTCCCTGCTCTCCCCACCCCATTACACAGCACTTTTCCTGAAGAATAAGTAAGCTCTAGTGACACACTTTGCTTTCTGCATTCTTTTCTTGCCAGGACTTGAACTATGCCCTCACCAAGTGCCCAGGTACTCACATTCTCTCAGACTAAGCCCACCTTACTTCCTGGGATGCTAATAACAAACATCTAACTGGGCTTTGATCTCCTTTGACCTGCTGTGTCCACGACCAAACCTTCATACTCATGACCAGATCTCTCTGTTCACACTAGACACACACAGAACTCCTACATACAGGCAACTGCCTGGGAAAAGCGTTCTCTCTTTTCCTGTTTTGCGCACACATCAGTGGCACAGTCAGAGTGGTTAACCAGAACACGTGTTTAATTTGAAGCACTCTGTCCTCCTAACCTGCCTTCTTTGTATCCTTCTTTAAAAAAACCAATTGACATGGTCAAGCAGGTTATCTGAATTGCCTATGGTACCTGCAAGGTAGTAGATAATATTAAACCCCTTATTCCCATCTACCTTAGGTATTGTTATATACTCTTTACAAAGCTTTCCCTTGAACTTCCTTAAGTCCAGGCATTACGGCCTTTACTTAAGATTCTACAGCAATACTACCAGGGCCCAAGATGCCCACACAACACTGAGATTAACCACATTTCCTGTTAGGGAGTTGGGTTTATGTGGCCCACCAGCTGAGTATCTTTGCCATCATTTTCTCTCTGGGCTCTTCTAAGTCTTGATTTTTAAGCTGAGGTGCTCATATTCCTGTGCACCTTCCGCAACCCTGAGGGTTACCGGTGCTATCTAGTTCTCTATCAAGTCGGGACCCTCTACTCTGACAGCCGCCCAAACTAGAAACCTAAACGGAACAGATTCGCAGCCAGAAGCAGAGCTCTGGTGTGAAGTACAATTTTCTGTTAATTACCCAGCTCCCACTCCACATTTCCGAACTTCCAGGTTCCTTTCCTGAGGCCCCCTGTGCAGAGGATTCCCCTTTAGTTCACTTGTGCTCGATTCTCCTCTCCCAAATGCAGGTTCACTCACACTTACTGGAAGTCACAGTTGTACCTGCTTCATCTTATCTGGCTTAATAAACCAAACTGGTGACAGCACAGACCTCTGAAGCACATCTTGTGACCCGATTATCTCCCATGTCCTTAGCACCTTATTGCCTCCAGTATACCTGAGTTTAGGAAATCGTCTCAGGTGGACTGACACGTGCTTCCTTCACTTTTCCCCTTAAAATGCTCATGTGAATGGTAACGCTTCTCAAATTTGCAGCAGCGCTGGAATTTTTTGTGGAATTGAGAAAGGCAGGGCCTGACTTCCCACTCTCTGAAGAGTTCACCGATCTCCCTTGGGAGTTTCTCAAGACTCAAAACAGGAAAAGAAAGAGAGAAAGGAAGGTAGAAAGCAATGTAGGTATTAACCATTTGTCTGGTACTCTTCAAACCCAGAACTATTACAGAGGGCATTAGGAATTCCCCTTGGCTACCAGGAGAAGCAGCGCGAGTCCGATTCCTAACAGGCAAGCACCAGAGACGATGTGGAGTTTTGGTCGTTAGTTTAGAGATAACAACTGGATGCGTGGGCTTGTCTTACCAACCACTGGAGACACCAGGAAGGAAGAAATAATGGGCTAATACAGAAAGAACATAGAAGAGGGTCCCAGATACCCAAAGCCTCCTGGCCTCTCCGTCGTCACCTGGAATGGGGTGCAAAGCCTTGGCACAGGCAGCTGGGTCCTGTCCCCTCCCGCCGCGCGCCCCAGGCCGCCCGGACGGCACCTCCTTACCTTGCGGGAGTACGGGGGCTTGCTCAGGTGGATGCCGTCACGGACGAGCTTATCCCTGATCATGATCTTCAGCTTCAGTTTGGGGTAGCTCACCAGCTCCCTGCTGCGGGGGGCGATCGTGTGGCCGCGAGAGTCCCCGCGGGTGCCCTGGGCCGGGCCGCCGTACGGCTCCCCCCGGCGGCCGGTGGGGACGGTGTCGGCGGGCTGCCCGGGGGGCGCCGGCTGCGGCTCCAGCGTGAAGTAGAGGCCGGCGGCGTCCGCGTCCTGCTCCCGCAGCCGGCGCACGGCATCCAGGATACGGCGGCGGTGCGCGGGCGCCAGCACCCCGATGGCATCCAGGTCCGGGTCCCCAATCTGCTTGCACACCTCCAGGTCATCGTAGCCGTTATCCACGAAGGACTCCGCGTACTGCGGAAGCTTCAGCGCTTTCAGCCACTCGTAAACTATATTGGTGCACATGGTGGGACCGGGAACCCAGCCGCCGAGCACCTTCCCTGCGCCCAAATGGCACAGGCGTCACCAGTTCTTGGAACTTTTAATCCTCTCCTCCAAGGGGAAAAAGGTATCGCAGTAAAGTTTTCCTTTTAAAGGAAAGGCTCGGGCCGGAGGCGGAAAGACATCTGAAGAAGCCTGAGGAAGGGAGAAGCGAACAAGCAGCAAAGTGAATTCCCCAAGCAGCCGCGGAGCTCACAGGGACTGGCTGCTGGGCTGGGCTAGCCGCTCCGCGCCGCCCCGCCGCCCGCGCCGCCCCTGGATGCGCCGCCGCCGCTGCTGCCGCGGGGAGGAGCGCGCGACGGGCGCGGGAGGGGGTGGAGACGGGAGGGGCAGGGGCAAACCCCTCGGACCCGCGCCGGGTCAGCGCAGCGCAGGGCCGCCCGCGGGTTTTCCCAGCCGGGACGGTCCGGAGGCTGCGCGCCGCATCTCGCGCTCTGGCAGCTGCTGGCGCGCTCCGCGCCGCGAGGCGACTCCTCCGCCCAGACCAGCGGCTGCTGGAAGGGCCTCGTCTTCGCGAGTGTCAGTCACTGTAGTCCTCCCAGCGGGAACCCGGTGGCTTCTACGCTGCCGAGCTCCGCTGGCTGCCCTGGGTTGCTTTTCACATTTCTCTTTAATTTGACTCTTCTAGCCCGTGGAAGTCTCTGCGCTCACTTCTTCCCGACCCTGCCGGACTCCAGCTTGCGCGCCCGCTGGCAGCCCAAGGACAGTCCCGCCGCCCCACGGCGCTGGAGACGCTGCGGGGTTCAGTGTCCCTTCCTTCCGGATCCGCGTTTGAATCCCCCTTCCTCGGATCCCTTACGCAGCCCAGAGCCCGGCGATCTGGCTTCTTCCGTGGGCGGCCACTCTGTGACCCGAGCGGCGGCGCTTTGGCCCGAGGGTGGGCGCGACTTAGGGACGGCCAGCGTCCAGCCGGCGTGAGCGCAGCCCCTCCTCGCTGCAGCTGGGCACGTTGGGCGGCAGGAGAGGCTGCTGTGCTGCCTGGCTCTCCCTTTCTAAGCTCCCGGGTCTGCGAAAGTTTGGGGTGGGTTGTACTTTCTCTAGGTCGGTCTGTCCCACCTGGTACCCCACCCTACTTTCTGCCCGGCCCCTCACCCTTGTCGGCGCTATGCTTTCTCTCCGGGCCCCCCACCTTGTATATTGCACGGGCTCCCTGGGTGGTTTTGCTCCCAGGGACACTGCCATGCGTTCAGTCCTGGAGCCCGTGAATCCAAGCCTGTGCTCTCGCTCCCGCCCGTGGATTGCGTGAAAATCAATAGAGCACCACCCAGCTCGTGTTGGAAGGGACGCTCAGACATCTCCGCCCACGGCATTTTCCCTCTAGGAGGTAACAAAATCAACCGAGTTTCCCCATCATGCCAATGTCTGAGCAACCGCTTGGGAGTGGGGACTCGAGTGGCAGGTGGAATAGACCAAGTGCCTGGGCCCCATTTTCCGGTGTCTGACCTCTTCTTGAGACTAAGGGAAGTGAGGGACCGCGGGGGCAGGTACTGTCTCCTCTCTTTTCGCAGAAGGGCGATTCAGCTTCGCGCCTGAGCTGTTTAAGGACTGGATCTGACCCTTTTCCTGAAGATTGCCGGTGGGGCGTGCCAGTCTCTCGCCCGACCTTGGGAGGTGGACAAGGAGTGATTTCAGAGTCGTTTCCCGACCTGCTGTGTGTTTGGCCTTTGGGTGGGAGGTAGGGTGGGCCCTCTTACCCTAAACCAAGAGAGCTTAACCCCCTCTTGGGACACGAACCCTTTAAACAATCAGATGACAACTTCTGTCCTTTTGCCCAGGAAAATACCCGACCTAGGCGCACCCAAAACGTTCCCTACAGTTGCAGGGGGGTTCTGGTTTCCCAAACCCCGGGACTCACGAATCTCAAGAACAGCTGGCAGAAAGGACTGTCTGCTTGGGGGAAGGGGAGAGACCAACGCGGAGAGCCGTGGAGCTGCTTGTGGCCCCAGCCTTGGGTCACCCAGGACGCCCTTTCCGGAGCCGAGTTAAGGTCGCGGACCCTGGTAGGTGGCGAGGCTCCTGGGCGCTGGGATGCTAGAAGCGCGCAGCCCTCCCCGCCCCGCGCAGGCCGCCGCCTCTTCCTCTCCAAAGCGGACTCACAGTGCCCCCTGGCGTCCGCGCGGCCCCGTTTTAAGGCGTTGTCCCTGTCCCCAAACTCATTCTATTCACCGGAAGGAAGTGGACTTTGTGACTTTATACCGATTCCCCTTTTAAGTACAGACGTTTTTGTCACGTTTATCTTTATATTCCAATACTAACTCACAAGGATCTTTGATTTTTTTTAAAGAAAATATTTCAGCAGTTTGAATGATGCTGCTAAGAAACAGAAATTATCAGCAAATATTTTTTGGAAAGTTACTCTATGCCAGGCATCTATTCACAGATCTATACACATGTGGTAAATAGTAATATGCCATATCTTACAGAAGAAGAAATTGAGACCTCAAAACTAATTCGCCCACGATCTCACTGTTCCCGATGGAGCAAGGGGTTCGAATTGTGGGGGGATAAATTTAGTATCAGCCTTCAGCCGTCCAACTACTCACCTTCGAATCACAGTCCCCCGCCTGTGCTGTGCTGTGCAACATGTGAGGGTAAAAAATGCGCAGGTTGTAAGAGGTGAGGTTTTTTGTTTGTTTTTGTTTGTTTGTGGGTTTTTGTTTGGTTTTGGACTGGAAAACTTAAAGCTCAAGAGTTTTTTTGTCTTTTTTTCTTTCTTTCTTTCTCTCTCTCTCTCTCTCTCTTTTTTTCTTTAACAGAGTCTCTCTCTGTCGCCCAGGCTGGAGTACAGTGGCGTGATCTCGGCTCACTGCAACCTTCGCCTCCTGGGTTCAAGTGATTCTCCTGCCTCAGCCACCTGAGTAGCTGGGACTACAGGCGCCTGCCACCACGCCCGGCTAATTTTTGTAATTTTAGTAGAAACGGGGTTTCGTCATGTTATCCAGGCTGGTCTGGATCTCCTGACCTCAGGTGATCCGCCCACCTCGGCCTCCCAAAGTGCTGGGATAACAGGCAAGAACCACCGTGGCCGGCCTAAAGCTCAGGAGTTTTATTGTATTTTCTTTCCCAAGCTGTATGAAAAGTCCAACAGCACTGTTCTGTCGTTCTTTGCCTTCTTATATGTGACCTTTTCCCCTCTGGGGGCTTAAAAATATTCATCTTGTCTTATAAATCCTCAGTGAAGGCAATGAGTATTTTTATTTCCGTTTTACCATTAGGGATACTGGTTGGGGGAAGATGAATGACTTGCCCAAGGTCATATAGTAAATCAGGACACAGACAAGATCAAGCTTGCCCTGTCAAAGTGCTTCCCTGACAGGCAGCAGTGATCCTCCTTTATTTATGTGCAAAGTACTCTCCAATTAGGAAATTAAGCATCCTGGTGCTCTCTTTGGAAGGGAAGCCTTTTATAAATTCATCACTTGTTAATCAGTCATAAATAAAACCTACTCACTTTTGACCTCTAGAGGAAACCTGCTATCTGGAGATTTCACTAATCCGAGCTATGGAAACTTTTTTTCCCCCAGGTTTCCCTTCTATTTCTCTTGTACATTTCTATACTTACTCGAGTCCTCTTTGGGTGAACCATTGACGCACTGTATCTTTCCATTGCTTGCCTTAGCATATTGAACCTCTTAATAGATTTCATTCTAGAGGCTACTATGCTAAAATGTGTCTATCTCTGTGGAGACTAAAGGCTAAAGTTCAAAGTGACACTGGCAAGAATGATTGGCTAATTTTAAGATTTAGAACTGTAGCCTTTTAGAGCTAGAGGCCACTGGAGATCATACCCAGCATCTAGATCTGCATGGAGGAAGCCAAGGCCCAGAGAGGTCAAGTTCCTTACCTAAAGTTACACAGCTAGTTTGTGACACAACTGGGACAAGAACCCAGATCTGCTTCCTCACATTGCTCTTTGCAATGTACTGCATTACCTCATTTTTGCTGCAAGCCCTTGGCCACTGTCAAAATCATTCATTTACTCATCAAATGTTTATTAAGTAGGCACTTCAGTGCCAGGCACTGAAGCAAAAAAAGAAGAGTTTTCCTTCATTAATTGGAACAGGAGAGACTTCAGCATTTTAAATATGTAGAGAATAAACTGACAGCTTTTTAAAATATGTTAGCTCCTGAATGGTAAAGGTTACAAAGATATAAAGCAGTGTTTTCTTCTATCTGTAATATTATCCAAATTCTGTGATCATAATATTAGCCAACATTTAAAATGAAACTGTATTTGAAATCCAGACAAAAATGTACTTTGAAAATGCAAGTGGCTACTCTGTTCCTAGTCACATCCTTAGAACACACAATTGATTCAGAAAACGTTGTCAACTACCTCTAATTTTGTGTTACTTTTGATTATCATTGCTTTGTTCGAGCTTTTTTCTGTATATAAAAATTTTCCAAATATTTGTCATGCTGATTATTATTTAATATGTTTGGGGTCACACTTACTTTTGCAGAGGGGATGTCTTGCCTAATGAAAATCAATGGGAAAATAGGTTATGGAGAAAGTTCCTTTTTAGGCACCATTTTAGAACTGTTGTGCAATGGTAATCACTATGGCAAAATGCCTGTTGATCCTCTCCATGTAATTAATTAATGATAATTCTATTCAGGTTTTCAACTCTAAATATCAGAAAACAGCTTTTCTACTTGCTCAGTAACTTGATTTAAGGATAGAGAGTGAAAAATAATTTGTTATGGAATTTTCTTGGTGCCGTTTAAGGTTTCAGACTATTTTAGAAGATAAATGTTCACACCTAGTGCATGTAAAAATTAAATTCCATTAACATCTATTAAATGTCAGTCCCCAGGGTGTCTAGCCTTGTAAAAGTCAAAGATATATAATATTAATCTTAAAATGCAAAAATGTCTTGCCTCTGCTTAAACCATGAGCTAAAAAGCATCTAGAAGGAGTGGATGCCATAGGGAGAAAAGAGAATAATGGGCTTGAGTGATGTAACAGGCAATCTCTCCTTCGGTGGCTGGGAGTGAGGTGCTGGGTTGGCAACTTAATTGGGGGCAGGCAGGGTGGGGGTGTCTGTTAATATGTCTGAGCTGTATACATTAGACTTGTGTGTGACAACACACATATGAAAGAAGGAAAGACAAGGAGCAGTGGGGAGTGCCAGCAGGATCCCATTAGATTATTCATTGCTGTTATAACAGGCCTTTCTTTCTTTAAAGAAGGAACAAAGGAGAGGAAATGCATGTTCAAGAAGTCATTCACTTAGAGGTCACTAACAAAAAGAGAACCAAGCTACAGACTATGTTTGTGATAGGAAATAAAATATGATACATTTTTCAAAAATTTTATTCTCTCATCTTTGGTAATCCCCAAAAGTTCTGTGTTTTAAAGCACACTCCAGAGGAGGAGGAAAGGGTTAATCTAGTGTCTCCCGAGGTAAAAATGATAGGTGCAGTATTTTGTTAGATGACAATGGGCAGCTCTTAGAAGTACCTTTATTTTCACATTCTAAATCAGCAAAGCTATTATAATTTAGCACCTAAATGTTAGGTTATATAACCCCATACAAGTGAAATTATATTGGTCAGTGCTATTTCAGACAAGTGCAAGTCATGTATATAATCACAAAGATGAAATCACTCAATTTATGACCAGTGCAAATTGACTAAACAACAGTTTTTCCCATCTGACAGTTTCTTCCCATTCTGGAGTTAGGACAAGCGATCCCATAGAGCCTACTTCCTGAGACCTGCATGGCTACTGATGACTGAGAGGTGGCTGGTTTTCTGTCTTTAGGCAATGTAATTTTATGTATTTGTTTTAAAATCTTTAGTGCTTCTTGTCTGGTTTAAATTTGCTATTAGAATATATACTTTATAACTCTTCAATTCTTAAATTATAAGAACCCAGCATAATTAGAGCTCTTAGTAATGCCTGAGATCTTGCCTCTTTGCAGCTTTGGAGCAAGGCAGTGTGGAGTGCATCCCGGTTTTGAAACTATCTCTGACCTTGGAGGCTATACATATATATATATATATATGGTGTCTTAGACCCTATTTATAAACGTGCAAATACAAGACCTAGGTGTACATCAGAAAAGCCTACATCCGAAAAGCCCCGTTCCTAGAAATAAGGCTGACAACCTGAAAGTAGGAGATGTTTTGAATATTCCTTCAAAACTTTTGTGCTTAACAGTTTCACAAAAGCCAAATTTCAAACCATTTTTTGGAGCTGTTCAGCTGTCTTGTCTTAGTGAGCCCAGATGCCCACAGCTTGGACCAGGGCCGTGGCTTGGGGCAGTATGCTCTCAACCAGCATTCTGTGGCCTTAGAGGACTTGCTGGGCTCATAAGCAAGGAGAGAGGGTCTTCAGGGAACTGCCCAGAAAAGTAACATAGATGACATTTTCTTTATGCTTTACAACAGGAAAAATTCCCCATGTTTCAGAAGTGTAAAAATTAAGATGAAACAATATACTTAATTAAAAGGTAACATGGGTTTATTCCTCTATAATCCGAGTGGGGAAAACGTTCCTAATTTTGATTCGACTTCTTGAAGCAATGGGGAAAAACCTTAATACTTTTGATCATATAAATATGATAAATCTTTGCATGGGAACAAAAACCTCTATTAGCAAAGTAAATAGACAAATAACAGCTTGTCCTTGTGGGAAAATATTTAGAATGTATACGGTAACCATAGATTGGTATAGCTAATACAGAAAAAGCATTTAAAAATAGAGAAAATAAAAGGCCAACAGGGCTATGGAAAGATGGGTCAGAGAGTTCTCAGAAAAAAATAGACAAGCAAACAAATAGACCCTCATTTGAAATGATTCTCAAGTAGCCTCAAAGTAGGAAAAATGTAGTTTAGGAGGCCAAGGTGGGAGGATCACTTGAGGCCAGGAGTTCGAGACCAACCTGAGCAACATAGCAAGACCCTATTTATTTTGAAAAAAAATGGCAAGCATGGTGGTGCATGCCTGTAGTCCCAACTCCTGGGGAGTCTGAGGCAGGAGATTGCTTGAGCCCAGGAATTTGAGCTTGCAGTGAGCTATGATCACGCTATTGCACTCCAGCCTGGGTGACAGAGCAAGACCCTATTTCAAAAAATAAAAAGAAAAAAAGAAAAGAAAAAAAATGCACATTCAAACTACACTGAAAGACTATTCTTACCTATTAGATTAGCACAAATCATAAGGTTTAGCAGGCAAGGTTGAGAAAACAAGCATTCTCATAAACTGTGGGTAAAAATAAATATAAAACGGTACAATCCCTCTGAGAGTCAAATACCACTCCTATGATTTCATTTAATAGAAACAGAATTGTTAATCAGGTATTGAAGTCTGAAAGACAAAGTAAACTCTGAAGTATCCCAGATGTAGTAACTTTAGGAAGCATTATGTTGATGCAAAAGTCATTGCAGTTTTTGCCATCGAAAGCAATGGATTATTAATTATCCTTAAAGGTTGGGGAAACAAAGGAAGAAGATTGGGATTATTAGAATATAGAAACTTGGAAGAGGGGCCCTGCTGAGCTGGGACCCAGAATTCTGAAAAGGGAGTGCTTGGTTAGGAGAAAGAACCCCATGAGGCTGGGCCCAGACCTCCAAGGAAGGGACACCATCTGGACGTACAGGAGCCCCAGGGGCCCCCGCAGAGCAGAGTCTCAGACTTCTGAGCCGGGCTGCTGACTGGCTCGTGTGGATACTGAGAGGGTTCTAGGAATGTAGAAAATTGGAAACTGTGACCTACCCCTACTGGGTGAAAAACT